TCTGAAGTCACCCACTACGCTCCTTTAGAATGCTCTGGAGAATTGGAGGGCTGGGTTCAGGAAATAACATGAACCAGAAGTGCAAAGTGGTTGACCCTAGGGGGTAGACACTGGGAGTGGATTGGATGTGCCCTCCAGTGTCTGGTGGAAATGGTCTTCCTTAAAAAAGCTTTAAAACCAAAATATCAGAAGAAAGCGTTGCCCTGCTCTCGCCCATCAGGACAGGGTTTATTCTGGGTGAGAGGGAGGTGAGGGGTTGGGGTAAGGACAGAGTCTCAGGAGACTGTGTGTACCTGCAGCATTACGCTCCTTTTTACAAACCCCAGAAATAAATATGGATAGAGTAGCATCACGCCTGGGAGGATCAGAAAGCCTGGAATATTGATGACCTTGTTCCCATTTTCTTTAGATCGGCTTCTAATTGGTAATAGTGTCCCATGCCTTGTGGAAAGAGCTATTCAGGGCATCAGAAGTCAGAGGGGACTTTTCTTTACCCTGTGTCTCTCATAGTTTGCATTTCGTATCCTGCTTCCGTTATGTTCTGGTCTGACATTGGTTGACCCATGCTGAGAGGGGAGTCCTGGGTGCTCCACGTGTGGCCTAACCAGAGCACCCGAACCCCCATCAGAAGAGATGACCGGTCTCCACTGGGCCATGGGGGTACTGGTGGCATTTCCTGAGGACACAGAAGACTAGTGGCGTCCTGCTGAGTCACCGGGTCAAACTTGCAGCGCAGGCTGAGTGTAGTCTGTGGCCGGCCGCTGAGTGACGTCTTTGACGAGCCCCACTCGCCCCTGCAATCCTGATTTCATCAGTTCGGCCACTTCTTAAAAAAAAAAAATATCGCAGTTGGTATCAGGCTTGCCCACACTTTGAACTTTGCGCAAAACATATTTTTAGGACAGCCAAAAACAGAATGCTAGGAGAAAACGCAGCTAACAAATCACATGCAAATGTCATTTTTATTCCATCTGTCTGAGCCTCTGATTCTAACTGGCCTGGAGCTTTGATTGGCAGAAGGAATTTGCATGATTTTTCCCAAGTGTCACATCTTGGAACCAGGAATGAGGGTCTCTAGCCATAAAAAAAAAACGAAAGAGGCCTGGAATAGTTTCAAAACACGTGTTCTGGAAACAGAGCTGGATACTTGCTGGGCCGTCGCAGGTTATAATCTCTAAATATAGGTGTTTTCTGTGATTGGACACCAGCCCTTCCTGAAGTCTGTGCTTGTATACTCAGTTTTGGATCATCTGTGAGTGGAATCTCCATGAATCCGTTCTCCACTCAACTACATATGACGTATCAGTCTTCATTCTAAAGTGATTGCTTTCCCTGCATGGCGTTAGAATCACAAAAAGCGAGCCTATTTGGGGTCAGTGCAGAGAGAAAAACTTTAGTGGAGACATTACAATAAAAAAAGGACTGAATCGAAAACGATTTCAGGGCTCCTGTCCTCCCACAACATGATTCTCCAAGACAGAGTTGGAACAGGATGTAGGGAAACTGCTGTCCCCATCGTCACGGGCGTATCTGTCTGCTCGACTGGCACATACTGTTTGCATGGTTGGAAACTGGGATAGGACAACCAGACAGCCTCTGACCTACAAGGGTTCACCATGTGCGAAGTCCTGTGCTCATCTGGCGTCTCCCAGGAAGGAGCAAGTGGTGCCATCATTGCCGGGTGTTCATGCGGTGTGAGACGTTTCTAGAGTGCTTCTGTCTGGTCATTAGTGAATCAGTCGATTGGTTGATTACCTCTCTGGCGCTCCCAGTGTTCCCATGCCTTGCCCGTCATCTTTTCCCACATCGTTTGGCCTTTGTGGGGTGCTGTGTGGACAGAAGACCTTTCTGCCTGTGCTTCCCCAAGGTGATAACGCGTCTGTTGGGATTTCTGTGGGGGACGGGAAGATCAGCAGGACGCCGGGGATTCCTTCGGGAGACTTGGACTTGTGCTGTGAGCATCCCGTGCGTGCCCAGCCCTGGCTTGTCTGCTTCCATGGTGGCATTGTTCTTCAGACAGCCTGGCTGGTTATGTTCTGCACGGATACAGGGCAGACAAGCTGTGTTTTGTTTTGTTTTTTAACATTTTATTCATTTATTTATTTGAGGGAGGGAGAAAGAGTGAGAGCACAAGCCCAGTGAGAGCAAAGACTGTGAACCGCGAGTCACTGGAGAGTGAGACCTGTCCCGTGCTGGGGGCGACCAGGAACCAAGGGCCTGTGTGATGGGGAGCAGAAAACTGGGACCCAGAGGGACAAATCCAGGGCTGCCACAGGGCTCATCATGAGCAGGTGGAGTCTGGAAGTAAAGCGGCTACCTCTCCGATACGGGAACGGCATTTAGACGTGGGCCTGGCCCTCTCCATACCCAGATCAAAACAGCTGACGTGAGTTAGAGCAGTGGGGGTGGGATTTCCAGAGCATTTGCTGTGTGTGTGTCTGGATGCGTATATACATTATCTTTTTCCTTTTGGCCCTTTGGTCCTCTCTGCCCTGTCACAGGGCGTGTGGGCCACTGAGCGGCGTTCACCATGGCCTTTCCTGGGGCGTTTTCCTCCTCAGATTTGTTTCAGTCGCTGCCCCGTTGCAGACGTTTCGGGTCCGCTTGCCTCCACAGTGGCCGGGCCCAGGAGAAAGGACAGCGTGGGCAGGGTCCAGCCCCGGCGTGGGCGGCAGAGCTCGGGGAGTCTCCGGTGCGTGGAGCCCGCCGGGCCTCCCCCGTCCTGGACCCGCGGGAGCAGCGTTCCCATTCATAACGTGTCATTAGCATGTCCTATATGACAGTGAGCAACCGACGCTGCATGTTAATTCCTGGGATGCCAGAATGCAGCTGCCTTCTCAGTGTGCCTTTGTACGGCTTGACGCACCGCTCTGGGAATACCCGGGAGCAAAAGGCTTCGATGCTTTCGCTGACAGATCCTTATTTTCTTGATCTGTGGCTCTTACTATCACCATTGACTTTATACTTGAAGTGAGAGCCCAGCAAAGGATGCCCCACCGGGGAGACAGGAGGGAGCCCGTGGGACCTTGTGCCTGATAGAAGCCGGGACGCAGCCCTTGGGCACACTCTGTGCAGCCGATCTTTCGCTCTGAGTCCTTACTTCCACATTAGCGAGTTCTCTTGTGTTTCTGCGAAGACCTCTATAGAGAACCCACGCTACAGATCACATATATCGATAACATGTTAAATGTGAATCCACATGCCCTAAAGCACTTAGATTTAAGCAATACATTGTAGCTAAATTGTGTGTGTCTGTGAGCACCAGGTGCTTTCCTGCAGGTCTGTGGATGCTGTATTTCAAGCATGTTAGTAGGAGAGGAAAAAAAGATGCAAATGTGGCTCAGCTCTCTGAAACGAAATATTGGGGAGGCACTTGTGAATTGTCGTGAACTAAACGTTTTATGGTCTTCAGAGGCACAGTGGCTGAATGACGGGGAGACGTAGGCATTCTGTGCCCGCAGCGGGTGAGACCCCCTCGCACACACCTGAGCCATGAGTTGTGCGTCTCGCACTGCGTTCTCAGTTCCACGGGGTTTAAAGTGTGATTCTGCAGCCGAACAGCTGCTCGACTCTGTTCTGCAAACATCCTTTGCTGTGTTCAAGTTATTTTGAAAACTTCTAGTTTCTTTTAGTGTATACCTGATCATGTATTTTTTTTTCCTGAAATCGCTAACTTCGGGAACTGGGTTAATATTTTCAGCTCTTGTGCTTGGCTGTTTTGCCACCGTGTGTCTTCTGAGCTCAGGCGGTGTGTTAGCGTCTTGCCCACAGACATCAGTGCTGCCCTGTCTCTCTCTGGGCCCTGCTGGGACTTGAGTTCCTATGCCCTCTTCCAGATACGGAGAGCCTCTAGCTTCTAGGTGGGGCAGGGTTTGGCTGTGTCCCCCGCAGCACAAGGCTGGGGGACTGGCCCCAGCTGGCGGACCGTGGGAAACGGGAGGGAATTGGACATGGTGTGGGTTTCCACTTCTCCCGAGGACATGGTCAGAGGGACATGCGCAGGACACTGGACTTGCAGGACGGCAGCTGGGGGTGGGGATGGTTGGGACGTCTGTAACACGGAGGCCAGGCATCCTGTCCCAGGGGACCGGTTCACTTCTGGGTCCCAAGGCGGGCACTGGAATGAGGCTCCTGCCCAGCATGTCGGGGGAAAGCCCATCTGACTGTTACCTAGGAGGTTCCGTCTCTCCTGGGCGCTGGAGCTCTGTCTCCTGGTTCTCCCGTTGCTGCCCTTCTTAGAGTTTCCTTTAACAGCACAGTTGTCTCCTCAGTGCAAAACTGCTCTTCCCTGAACTGGAGGTCCCATCAGAGGCTCACTTTGTGACTCCAGTCGAAAGAAACCATGTGTTGGCAAAGGTGCGCCCCTGCTTTGTTTCAGGCTTGGTCGTTGTTAGCCCATGAGAGTTGGCTACAGCACAGATGCGCGCCAGGGAAGCCTGCGGTGGGAGTGTTGGGGGGGTCTTTCCGTGCGGGGGTGTGTGTGTGCACATACTAAACACACACATATGTGCCCAGAAAGTGAAGATAGAACTGGAAACAGGTCACAGGATGCAAACATCAGTGAGCTGCATGCAGTGCCCAAAAGTCTGTGTTTTTCTCCTTTTTAGTAACACACGACTGATTTTAAAGGGGTTCTTTTTAAAGGTTATTATTAGTAAATGGATTTATGGCTCATGTTTGAAAGTTCTAGCCCTTTGTATGTGGCAATTTCCCAGAGTAAGCCACATAAAAATACTGTTGTGACACAAAATAAGGATTTCTGAATATAGCCGTAGGAGAATTTTCATCAATGTAGTTTTTTTAAATGTTTGTGTAAATTTTTTTGCCCCAGAATGCAACTTGTGTGTGCACATGTATGGGAAAATGTACACAGATTTAATTCCTTTAATTAAAGGATTTAATTAAGACAGTTTAAGATTATGCAGATCTGGGTTTTAGTCCCATTTGGAGAGAAGATGTTCTTATAATCATTTCCTCATCTTTATACTTTCTCCCTCTAGACAAGCAGATGCCCAGTGTCCAGAGGTCGGTCCGGCAGCACAGCAGGACCCCCCGGAGCCGTCCCAGGAGGCCCGCTGCCGAGCGGGGACCCTACCTCGAGATTACAGATACCCAGAGGAAACACTCGGCCCAGGACCACACGTGCCGGACACCCCTTCGGCCCTGCACACTTGGGGGCAGGACCCAAGGCCCGTGAACACTGCAGCGCTCCCCAAGAAGCCAGCCCCACAGAGGCCGCCGCCACCCAAACGTGAACCCAGGCAACTCAAGGGCCTGGCCGGTGGCCCGCCTGGGGCCGCTCACCTAGGTGCCCCCAGCCGGTCCCTCGCCCCGCCGTCCCCGGAGGCCCTGGAGGCGTGTGTGGACCGTCTGTCCCTGTCCCACAGCCCCTGTCCCTTGGTGGAGAAGCTGAGCAGTGTGCAGCCGGAAGACGGCGTGAGGGCGGCCGGCGAGCACGGCGGGCGGCATGTAGACAAGCACGCAGCCTGTCCGAAGCTCGAGGCCCCGCTCCCTTCCAGGTTCCGGCCCCTGCCGACGTCCGCCATGGAGACTTCTCGCTCCCCTTCTCCTCAGTTCGCGCCCCAGAAGCTGACCGACAAACCGCCCCTGCTGATCCAGGACGAGAATGGCGCAAGGTACTATTCTGGGACAGTGGGCCTGTGCTCTTCCCTTTCCTGGGCTCCCGCAGGAGGCTGCCGGCGCATCTACCCCGGGTGCTGGACTCGGGGGCCCTGCTTTGGCTCCGCATGTAGGATTTTCAGTTCCTCCTGGGGACTGACTCCATGGGGAGGATGCACAGCTGCAGTGGTCAGTTGAATCTTGAACTTGGTGCTGGGGACTGTCCTGTTGCGCAGGAGCGAGGGGGATGTAGCGGAGGTGGGGCACCGGCCCCTGCCCCTTTCCCCCAAGGCAGGTGTGGATGTGCGCCTTTCACACGGGCAGCTGCACATCAGGCCTGTGTTTTCCCTAAGCAACTGTTTATAATCAGAATCCGGTTTAAACTAAGCAGGAGATCTTCAGGAGAAATGGGTGTTTTTCATAATGTCCAATGTTTCCATGCTGTTTTTCCTTTTTCTTTTAAGATTCTCTTTATTTGGAGAGAGCGGGCACAGGGTAGGGAGGGGCAAAGAAAGAGGCAGGGAGAGAGAGGCTAGAGCAGAGTCTGTGCTGATTGTGGAGCCCGACGTGGGGCTTGATCCCAAAACCCTGACATAGTGACCTGAGCCACAACCTCAGAGTCGGCTGCTTAACTGAATGTACCGCAGAGGCGCCCCTCCACACTGATTTTTCCTGTATCTTACGTGAAGAGCCCACCTGCTGTACACCTGTCGTTACAGCAGAGGAATGTTTGTCACGGTGCACGGAGCTGTGGTGAGAATTTCAGGCGTGGGGTTGTCCGCCGTGCCCACTGAGACGCCAGCGGATGTCAGGCCGGGGACTCACAAGTCCAGAGCACGGACTGTTTCCTTTCTCCCTCCTCTCTGAGGGCCTGTGAAGAACTGAGAACTGGCAGAAGTGGAGAATTTTCCTCTTGTTCTCTAGAGCAGTGGCCCTCAACCTGGGGGAAGGCCGGTTTGTCCCCAGGGCACATCAAGCTGTGTCGGGAGAGGTTTTGGGTGTCACTGCTGAAGAGGGAGTGTTGCTCCTGGCATCTCATGGGCAGACGGGGGTGCTTCTCCGCGTCCCCAGGTCCGCCCCACAGCCAGGAGCGCTCGCAGTGTCCCCAACCGTCTCGCACTGTCGCCAGCAGTCACGGTGCTCTGTGGTGGGGCGAGTGTATGCTGCTGCTGCAAGCCAGCCGGCCTCGGCCCCCATCGGCCCCCATCTCTGCAGGGCTAGTGGGAGCAGCACAGGCCCCTCCCACAGACACAGCCGCAGCTCCACGGTGCTCCCGACCTGTGTTCGCTCTGGAAGGAGGCAGTAGCTTTCATTTTTTTCTTCCCTGAAGCAAGTGTTGATTTTCTCATTGCGTCTCCCCTGTGAGCTTAAGAAGAATTTCAATAAGCGGTGACGGTATCATTGAAGATCCTGGTCAAGGGGAAAAGGGGTCTTTGGGGACCCACGTTACTGAGTTTTCCATCTACTGTCTCATTGGGGCCAGAAAAGGTTGTCTTGGGCCCACTTCTCTTGTTGTACCAGTGCTCATAGAGAGCTGAACTCTGGTCGCCGTCAGGACCCATACACCCAAATATGTCCTCCCTGTCTCGGGAAGCGCGGTGAGGCAGGGGTGCCCGTGCGGCCTCTAGAAGTTGCTATCAAGGCAGTCGCTCGTAGGATCCTGAATTACGTTCCCCACAGTGTGTGTTGCGGGTCAGTCCTGGTATGAACATGTGCAGTCCCAGGGACCAAGGAGACAAAGGAGAAGCCAGAGCCCAGGGTCGGTGTCCACAGTCTGCTGCTGGTGGCGGGTCTGCAAGGAAAGCGTGCCGCGGCGGGGCTGCCCACGCTGCCTGTTGCCGGAGCTCGGCCCAGGGCCGCTGTCCTTACCCGGCCCTCCGTAAACTCGGGGTTCCAGAGCTTGAGCCGCTCCCCTCCGCTCCCTCCATGTCTGGTGTCTCCCTTCTTCCAGTATTCCCCGGTCCCGCGTGTGCGTGTGTGTGCCGGCCGCTCGCAGGGGCACAGGGCAGGGTGCACCGTCGCTGCCCCGGGGGTTTCAGAACGGGCGCTCGTGCTCCCCCCGAAAATGCATCAACTCCTGTCCTCAAGCTAGGTACCTGACTTTCAAATCTTTAAAAGTTTTTTTGTTTTAAAAAACAAAAGTGGAGATGCTGGTTTTTTGTTTTAAACTACAAAGTGGAGATGCTGGCCAGCAGCCTCTTGGGTCGCGGCCAGTAACAGACACGTGGTCCCTCCTAGAAGCGTTCTCAGGGGAGTTTCCGGAGAGCCTGTTTCCATTTGGGCACGTACGACCGTGGAGTGCCGGGAGGCCTCCTTCGTGGCCACGCGCACAGCATCAGTACACCCTGAGCCTCTGTGGGAGGGTCTCCCGAGTGGGTCCTGTAGCTCATCCCAGCCAGAGCGGCGTGCAGCTGACGGGCTCCTGTGGGCTGCGGGCGTGAGCAGAGCCGCGTGGGGCACTTGCTGTGGGGCCGGGCTCCTGTGGGCAGCCGGCACTTTGAGAGGGGCCCCGGGACATAGAGCTAGAGAGCAGCTCAACGTACCACACCTTCTCCATCTCTCTGCTCTTGCCTTTTGATTAGGAATTGATGAGATCTGGTTGTGTTAAGGTGTCATCTGCTGTGTTTTGTCCTGACTTTGGAGTAAGCGTTCATCAGGCTTGTTAAATGTGGAGGGCTGGACAGTTTTCATGAGGAGAGACCACGTATGGCTAGAAAACACCAGAAAGAGATGCTTTGCTGGGAAGTAATAGGTCAGCGTGCAAAGGACGTGTTCTCATTGTGTTCTTTTTTCCTGTCTTCTTGCCCTGGAAATCCAGTTTCTCTACAAGTCGGAGAGATATTAATAGAGGCCAACTTAGCAGTCAGTAGGAGAGCAGCGCCTGGCTGGTTAAGTTGGGAGAGCATGGGACTCTTGATCTCAGGGTCGTGAGTTCAAGCCCCACCTGGGGCGTAGAACTGACTTTAAAAAAAATTTTTTTTTTTCAGCAATAGGTGGTGTAGGTTTCTAAGTATGGAATAAAGGAATGAAGAGGGGAAGAGGGGTTCTTGTCTCTCTGTCTTTGCCTGGATAAGATGCCAGAAGCTTCCTTCTGCAGTTCAGCACATTTAAATGGTATTTTCCACAGAGCCAGTCTTTTAAAATTTATTCACAAAGAGGGCATTGGGGATGACTGTACATGAATACCTAGGTAAAACATCTAAGAATTTCTACTTAGAGAAGAGAAGAGAATACAAAATTACTTTAGCTCATACACTGCAGTAAACAGGGAAAAAAAATACTACGTTCCCAGCCACTAGTCAGAAGGTGAAAAAAGGGACTGACTTTAGAGCACTGGAATGATCCTTGTGCTACACAAAGTTCAGTCCATCAGGGTCACATTGTAGAAGTGATCTTGGCCCACTAAGTTAGATATAAGTGTGGAACTTTGGCTTTGTGATTTTGACTTGTGTTTTCCTTCCATTGTGGGAACCAGCAGGTGGCTCTCTTTCTCCAGTACGTCCTTTAAAAACAGTTGAAACAGGTTTGTCCCTGTGGCCCTGGTCCACAGGGTCCCTGGGTGTGGTCCAGCGAGGTGTAGCTGAGGGGACCATGTGGCATTCGGGGAGCCCTGCATGAAGGCCCGTCGCACTGACCCATTCCATGTTCTCTCCCTTCAGCGTGGGGGCCCCCATGGCTCCTTTTGCTGTGAAACCTTTTTTATTAATCTTTTTCTTTTTTTTTCTTTTTTAGAGATTTTTATTTATTCATTTGACAGACAGAGATCACAAGTAGGCGGAGAGGCAGGCAGAGAGAGAAAGTAGAGGAAACAGGCTCCCCACGGAGCAGAGAGCCCGATGTGGGGCTCGATCCCAGGACCCTGAGATCGTGACCTGAGCCGAAGGCAGAGGCTTTAACCCACTAAGCCACCCAGGTGCCCCATTTTTTTTAAAGAAAGCACGTACGGGCAGAGGAGGGACACGGAGAGAAAAATCTTAAGCAGGCCCCACACCCAGTGCAGAACTCCGTGCAGGGCTCGGTCTCGCAACCCTGACATCCTGCCCTGAGCCGAATCAAGAGTCAGACGCTTAAACCAACTGAGCCACTCAGGTGCCCCCCCTTTTTGTTTTATTTTTTTTATGTTTTTTGCCCCCCCCTTTTTTAAAGTAAGCTGCACACCCAATAGGGAGCCCAGTGTGGGACTTGAACTCACAACCCTGAGATCAAGACCTGCACGGACACCAAGGGTCAGATGCTCAACTGAGTCCCCCAGGCGCCACCTCCTGCTCTCTTTTTTTTTTTTTTTCTCAAGGAAAAGTGTGTCCCCAGTGAGTCGCTTAAAATAATGCCGAAGCCACGTGCCCTGCGTTTGCGTCCCGAAGCTCGTGTGTCTGTTTGAGAAGCCCTGTGAGGGGTGGCTTGCAGCGCGGAGCAGTGGAAGGCCGGTGGGGGCGGCAGTGAGAGCGCACGGCCCGGGGGGAGGCTCACGCTGGGGCCGGCGGCGGCCGGCGCTCAGTGTCCGCTCCACATGTAGCCGCCCCGTCGGGAAGTCTGCCCGCGGGCCTCGCTTGGAGGCTGCCAGGGAAGGCTGCTTGTCGCGGGCTTCCCCACCCATGGAAGACGCACCTGCGCGGGGCTAGTGGACAGCGATGACCGGCTGCGAAGAGAGGTCCGCCCCCTGCCTCAGTGAGTCTGCCCCAGGCTCCAGTGCCAGGCGTCTGGAGGTGTGTGCATGATTGGAAAGTGGAAGGTGCCCAGATGCTTGGGGTCAGGAAACGGGACCTCCGCGGCCTCCACTCCCAGTCCTGGGTCGGGGGATCACAGAGGCTCCCATCCCCGCGGTGGCCGCACGTCCCCCAGCCGTCCGGGCAGGCGAGGGGCCCACCGGTGTCCGGCCCGCATAGCTGTCCATGCGGGGGCTCACCCAGTGTCATCAGCTCGCGGCTCTTCTCTTTCCAGGATCGAGCCGGTGGCGGACGGCAGCGGCACGGTGAAGAGGGTGCCCGTCAAGATCGTGCACTCAGAGAGCCGGCCCGAGAAGGAGAGCCGCCAGGGCCTGGCCCGCGCCGCGGAGCTGCCCGCGCTGCCCAGCGGGCTAGAGAAAGACCAGATCAAGACACTCCGCACGTCCGAGCAGTCCTACTCGCGCTTCTGCCTCTACAGCCGGGAGGACGCCGAGCCCGAGCCCCCGCGCCCCAGCGCCCCCACACCCGGCGCCAAGGACGGCGGGGCCTCCCCCTCCAGCCTCAGCTACGTGAGGGCCAAAGAGAGGACGGCCGAGGACCTCAAGTCGGAGGAGCTGGCCCGGGAGATCGTGGGAAAGGACCGGTCCCTGGCCGAGATCCTGGACCCCGGTGTGAAGATGAGGACCACCATGGACCTCATGGAGGGCATCTTCCCCAAAGACGAGCACCTGCTGGAGGAAGCCCAGCAGCGCCGCAAGCTGCTGCCCAAAGTCCCGTCTCCGAGAGGCGCGGACGAGAAGTGAGTGCGGCTGCGGCGGGCCTCTTAGCTCCCAGCTTCTGCCGTCTTCGCGGCTCCGGGATGCAGGGAGCTGGGGCTGCCCCGTGCATCTGTTCTCACGGTGGCCTTCCAGGGGCACATTTTCAGAAGCACCGTGCTGCAGCCCACGTTGGCTGTTGGGTGACCCTCCCGGAAGAGCCCTGGAGGCCCGTGCCTGGGGATGCCGGTTGGGGGCCGGCAAAGCTGTGACACTACCACAGCTCCCGTGCATTCCTGGCTTCAGGCCTGCGGGCTTCGGGGTGTTGTCCACAGGCTCCTCTCTGTGAGGACAGCGCCTCTCAGCTGGGACGCTGTCTTCCTCCAGGGGACAGTTGGCAATGTCCACAACGTGTTTAGTTGTCACACCTGGGAGGTCCTGTCGGCATCCTGTGGGTGGAGACCGGGGAGGCTGTCCCCACCCTGCCCTGCCCAGGGCTCCCCCATAGCAGAGAAGGCTCCACATGTCCGTCCTGAAGGCTCCGGACGTCCGCGGTGACAGAGGAGGCTTTGTGCTCCTGGTTACGGAGCGCGGCGAGCGGGTGCATTGCCATGGCATTGGGACACTGGCCTTTGAGCCGGCCTCGTTCGCAGGCCGCCTGCATGGGCATGTGTGGTGGCACCTGTCCTGCTGGTGTCCGCTGTCTCCATAAGCACCGTGCATGGACAGTAGCTGGGCGCTCCAGGGAAACGCAGGACAGAAGGGCAGAGCGGATGAGGTGGGCCCGAGCCAGGGGCTGGGACATGGCGGCAGGCAGAGAGGCGCAGGTTGCACTGGGGACCCCGGGGCCTTGCTTACAGTTAGCTGCACGCATGTGCTCCCTGTAGAGCTCAGGCCCCCGGCCGGAACTCTCCCGCTGCTCCCTTCCCTCCTGCGTGGAGATTTTTAGACATCCCTGCTTATTGGACTTTTCCCCTTTTTAAAAAAACGGCTTTGTGTAGGCTTGGAGCAGCCCTCTGGCGACGTATCGTTTAGTTCTAATGTTGTCGCCTACTGCCGGCCCCCTTCAGCGGTCTCGTGCCCCTGGCCGTGGTCCTCGTGTTGGCAGCCCGTTTGCTTGTCACAGAGCAGACCGTGGGCTGGCGGGGGGCGTCTGGCGTGGAGTCACAGCCGACGGAAGTTCTGACCTTGTTCCCCAGGAGAGAGGAGCCGGGTGCGCCCGCGGCCATGTCCCTGGCCACCAACTCCACCTACTACAGCACATCGGCCCCCAAGGCAGAGCTGCTGATTAAGATGAAGGACCTGCAGCAGCAGGAGGAGCCGGAAGACGACGCAGGGAGTGACGTGGACCACGACCTGGCCGTGAAGAAGGTAGGAGAGCCCTGCACCGCGTGTGCACGGCCGTGTGTGGTCCGCTTCTGTGCGGGACGGTGACATCCGGGGCAATAGTAGGAAGCCCTTCCTGGCTAGGTTGGTCTTGTCTAAAATTCCTCACAGTTTCTTTACCATTTTTTTTTAAGATTTTATTTATTAATTTAGAGCAGGAGAGAAGAGGGGTAGAGGGAGAAGCAGACCCCCCCATATGCAGGGAGCCGGATGCAGGATTTGGTCCTGGGACTCTGGGATCATGACCTGAGCCAAAGGCAGACGTATAACTCGCCGAGCCACCCAGGCGCCCCCTCACCATCTTGTGTAGTAAGATGCAAAGTCCTATTAAGCGGGTACCAGTCTCCGGGAAAGTTCAGTGGATGCGGCTCCTCTCTCCCATTTAAAATCTAAGGACTTGGAGCTCCTGGGGAGCTCATTCGGTTCAGCATCCGCATGTGGCTCAGGTCATGATCCCAGGGTCCTGGGATCGAGTCCCGCGTCAGGCACATTAGTCAGTTGGGGGTCTGCCTCTCCCTCTGC